AAAAGGATTCTGACACATGCTACAAAGCAGTTGAATGTTGAAGATATTATGCTACGTGAAATAAACCAGACATAGAAGGACAAACATTCTATGATTATGATTATATATACTTATAGTAGTCAAATTCAGAGATAAAAAGTTGAGTGGTGGTTGCCAGAGACAAGGGGAGGGAAAATAGGCAGTTATTGTTGAATAGATACAAAGTACATTCGGAAAGATGAAAAAAGTTCTGGAAATGGATGGTGGTGATAGATACACAACAATATAAAAGTACTTACTGCTACTGAACTATGCACTTAGGATGGTTCCAATGGTAAATTTTAGGTTATGTATATTTTACCCCCCACCCCCCGACACACACACTCACAAAAAGTCCCTTTAAGCTACTTTTAGAAAACAATTTCCCTCTCAGAGTAGTTCTTTCCTCTAGGTTTCTGTGGAGCAAATAGGAAACAGGAGGTTTTTGTTTGGTTTTATTTTTAAAATCAATTTATTAAAGTGTGTCTAAAAGAAGATGCATGCAGTTTAAGTGTATAATTCAAGAAGTCTTGACAATTGTTACACATACATGTAACTAACACCAAAATCAAAGACATTAAGCATTCCCTTCAACTAAAAAGCTTCTTTGTGTGTCTCAACAAGCAATTCCCTTTCCTTTGCCTCCAATTTCCGTCCCATACATCCACTGATCTGCTTCTTAACATTATAGTTTTGCATTTTGTATAATTTCATATAAATGGACTCAACCATTAAAACTATTTTCTACTCTCATCAGCAATATATGAGAGTCCAGCTGTTCACCCTTGCTGACACTTGCTATTTTAAGTCTTTTTAATCACAGCCATCCTAGTGCTGTGTAGTTATGTCTCAGGGGTTTTCATGTATATCTCTGTAACAAATAACAATGATGGACATGTATTTATTTGCCACTCGTATATTTTTTGTGAAATTATTTTTGGCCAACGTTTTATTTGGATTATAAGAATTTGGCTATTTGTACTGTGAGAATTTATATATATATTCTGAATAACAAGTCCTCTGGCAAATGATATTGTGAATATTCCTCCCAGTGTGTAGTTATCTATTTGTTTATATGCACGATGATACCTTTTTAAAGGATCAATAAGCTTTTAATTCAGTTAAGTCTAATTTATTGAGTTTCCTTTTATGGTTTGTTTTTATTGTTGTGGTTGTTTATTTGCTTGCTTGCTTGTTCATTTTGTTTTTTGGAAATACTGAACCCAGGCTTTGCACATGCTGGGCAAGCACTATACCACTACATCCTCAGCCCTATGGTACTTTTTTTTGTTTTCATTTTTCCTATATAAGTGTAAGGTAGGGATCAATATTAATTTTTTTTACACCCAGATACATAGCATCTCTCTTGAAAAGAACTTTCTATTGAATACAATAATATATCTGTCAAAAGT